CAAAGAGCTGGAAGAAAACTCAAATAATTTAAATCAATAGATCCAGTCTGAATGAAGGCTGCAAAAAGAGAATAATTATACAGCAATTACCCCATTTTGTCAGCTAGCAAAGTATGTGTACCTTAAACATTCATCTTGAAGGAGGAAGGCATGAAATTACAATTATGTGGAATTATTGAAAAATAACAGTCTGAAGCGCGGAGAGGTTGACATGATAGGGTCATAACTGTAATGTGAATATTAGGAAGATTTATCATCATCAATTTATTCTTGAATTAACCTGAAAGAATGCTTGTGAATAATTGTTATACAGATAAATTAAATTGATAAACTAAATGGTTCAAACAACAACTTCAGCTTGTAGAAAAGCTGAAAATAGGGAATCTTTACAATGTGGATCCCCCACGGTCTTCTACTCAGTAAGCAAAAGCGGCAGGCACCAGGCTAGTCGGGCTGCTCAATTTAAATATTGGGACCTTATTTTGTGAAGTTCTTAAGAATACCGATTGAAACACAATGTAAACAAATAAAAGTTAAGAGTCTCATCCGAATCAAATGATTCCAAACGATACGCATTCATAGAAATTAAGTTTAAATAGACAAAAGTAGAAAACAGGAACAATCTCATCAAATCAGTCCAACTGAATCCCTTGCAAGCAGCTATGTCACGCTTGGTGTAGTGCTCCGATCATAGACCCGCCCTACGGGGATCAATCCTCTGGTCGAATGTAGTCGATTGCTCCATGACGCGAACAAGAAGCGACCGCTCACAAAATCATACAACGCGTAAACAAACTGAAATCAAAAACTATGACTCGCGACGCCAAACATTTCTGTACCGGGAGCACAAGCGAAGAAAAAAACAAACAACGCAGATAGCGATATCTCTTCTGATGCCTGCAAACATGATGCATCACGTTTTCTTTTTCGATTCCAAAACTTCTCGGAAAGCGAGAAAACCACCAATCACACACGTATAACCGTCCGGGAGGCAGAGTGCCAGCGCTTATCTGGCAAAATCAGCGAACGCACGCACAAAACAGAAACAAACACAACCGTATCCGAAGAGGTTTGAAGCTGAACTCTCTATGCCAAGCGCGCTATACTAAAGAGTATAAACAGAGAGAACCCCGCTCAAACTCCTAAACGCAAGCTCCTGCTGCAGTTAACAAATAACATTTATTGTATAAGACCACGTAGTCCTACGTCACCATTGCGTAGAACCCCTTGTAGTTTTTTTTTAATTTTCTTGACTTAGACTTAACACATAAGTATCCGTAGAACAAAAAATTTTCAATACAAAAAGCTCTGTCTTTTACATGTATTAGGTTTTGAAAATACTCGAATATTTTCGATGATATTTAGACATTGATTTAATGGAATTTTCAAATATATCTAAGCTGTCTTGCCTCTTGTTCTATAGAAGATCCTCCGAACCACCCAGTCCACCCACCAACATTTGTCGGCTGTCGTCCAAACATTTGAGTTGATTTTTTGTTCATTTTTTTTTTAGCAAGTGAGTGGAAGCAACTCTGGTAGACAGTACTGTAGTAGTACTACTCCAGAAATCCAGCACTTTCGCAAGCTTAAGTACGGATCATGTTTTGCAGGTGATGGCTGGTAGCGCTGATGCGATATAATAGTAGTGGCTTTAAATTACGGAAAGAGTGACCAAATAGTGACTTGTAAATTTATGTCATGGAACTCAATATCAAGTTTCATAAATTCCTCTACCTCTACTTTGATCGAATCTCACAACGGAAACTCCTGTGAAGAGCTTTTGAAGTGATTTGAATAATTTACTTTTGCTTACGTTATACATGATGACTAGCAAATAGTAATTCCCATTTTTATGATCTTGAATTTGATTCTGCGTTCAAAATCTCTAAATATTTGATATACCTAGGTAGATAACTTTGATAATTTGCTATGAAATTTTCACAGAATTTCTTCAGAATGATCTCAAGAACTTTTTTAGAATAATTCTCCTTCTCTTAAACTTAGAACCAAATAAGCTTTTACAAACATAATATTGCATTCTTGAAATTCTTTGCAGAACAATCAACAAAATTCTTAGAAATACATCATTTTCGTAGTTGGAAACGCTTAACATCAAATATCAGTACTAAAGTGGACATGTTATACGATAGATGAGGAGATGAAAGTAAAGAGTTGATAGTTCCGTTATAGTGTGGCAGTTTAAAATTTGTATATAGAAAGTAGAAAGCGAACAAAGGATAATTTTTAGGAAGGTACGAATAGGGTAGAGCATCTCCTTTACCAATGAGGGATGGTGAGGGGTTTTTCCACCTGCCACCACTGGCAAAAGAGATGATCACCGATTTGCTCATGTACCTCTGATGTGCGGAAACAGTTCTATTGATTGTTTCACACTCAAGTCGCCATCTGACGTAAACAACTACCCGATTCGTACCTTCCTCAAAATTGTCCTTTGATCGCTTTCTACTTTGATAAACAATTTTCACACTGCCGTACTATAACGGAGCTATCAACTCTATAATTGAATCTCCTCCTCGGTCGTATAAAATCTCCATTTGAAGTCTGATATTTGACGTTAAGCATCTCCGACTATGTAAATCGTTAAATTCACGCATGAATTAATAACGCATGATTAGTTAAAGTAGATTATTTTCGATTTTTTATTGATTATTTTAGAAACTCCCTGAAGGGTCGTTCCATAAATCCAACCTTAGAATTTCCATACAATTAACCTCAGAAGTTTCATAAATTTATGCTTAGAATAATCTTGGACTTCTCCCTTGCCTTTAATTCGTATTCTCCTTAGAATCCCCATAGTATTTCCTCAGAATTCTCAAAACAAAAATCCATCACAAACTTTGAAACTCTTCTCAGAATTCCTTCCTCAAAATTCGATTCCATTTGAATTCTTCTTTAGAATTCTCTTGAAAGTATCATCAGAAATCACCCCAGAAATCCTTTATAACTATCCGCAGAGACCATCTTTGGAGTTCACGGGATTTTCATGGAATTTTCATCAGAGCCATTTCAGAACTAATTTTGAATTCTTATTATAATTAGACCTAGAATCCTCATCCAATCATCATAGAACTCTTCTCAGAACTCTCGTTAAAATGCACTCTCAATTACATTAGAATTATTTCCAAAATTATTTCGGAGCTGAATTTTGAGTCTCTATTAATTTAAAAAAGTAATCAAACGCGACGCCCGTATGTGTTAAGCCAAGTTTTACTATATAGGTAAACCTGGCTTAAGATTTAAGCGGATATGTAGAAATCGGTCCTCAGAACAGTTAATTTTACATGAGACTTTCGTAGTCTGTACTTTGGTATTCTTCTCTGATATATCTTAGTGTCTGCCCTAGAATCCTTTAAAATTCTCTTTTAAATCGAAATTGAAGGCATTTCCCTATAGTTTTCCTGGTGTTCTAACGTTTTGCGGTTCACTGGTCACTCTGGTTAAAATTTTCAATTTTTAAACAGTTTTTATGTTTATTTTGCTAAAACTTCTGTAGACTTTCTTAGTGCCAAGTACTCAATTTAAACATTTTGTGAAAAAGTGACTTTAGTGACTATTTTTAGGGAAATAGTGACTTTAGTGACTTTTAGGTGTAAAAAGTGACTTTTTAGTGACTGACTTCAAAATAGCGACCAAGTCACTAAAAAGTGACCTGCTACCAGCCCTGTGATTGTGCACAATTATTGTTCATGTCTCCTCTTGAATGTTATTTTTTCTGGATCAAGTGTAGATTTGTGTACCGAAAAAAAAGTACACAGTTATTGTAGACACGTAAGCATGTCAAAAGTTTTCAAATCCGTCTTCTAGGATAGCTGTAATAACCTAAAATATGTGTTCAGGGTGTAACCAAATGAGGCCAAATTTTAAAATCGCGATCGGGACCTGATTTAGAATCGAAATGAGTACCTTGAACTACCAAGATGGTTTCATGAATTATATACAATCATTAAACACTTTTGTTATTCTATGTCCAAAGTTACATGAACTTAAGAACTGTCACAAAACTGTTAATGCCAATGGTAAAAAAATATGAATAAACCATCGAGTGACGCAACGAGACAAAACCAGAAAGTAGATCTACTAACGGTTCACTGAGGAGGCTGTTTCATCACATCATAACGGTTAAATTGGTCCACATACCACGGCTCTCTGTTGCGTCAGTTGCGTATAGTACATACAAAGTCACGGTATTCAAATACGTTGTAATGGATACACGACTGGGGCATGCACGAAAATTGAAGATAATTCGAGACGATTACACCCTACGCTACTAAATGTTTGCCTCACTGGCACCAGACTGTGTATATTGTGTAAGATTTTGGAAACTTAAGCCACAACTACTTACTGCAACGGAAGTCAGAAACATTTACTGAAAAGGGGATGCTGTCGCAAAACGATAGCATTTCAGCAACAATGATATCTTAGCGAAACCATCTTCAACCCCCGTTGACCATATGTCGGAATTAATCATCGTTCTAAAATGCCGAAAAGCCGGTAGATCGCGTGTAGACGACCTAAAACAACATCTGATGAGCAGGACAACGCCGCAGTTCTCGGTTATCGGAAGTTGTAACCTGAACATCTCTGGTGCACATCGAAGCAAACTGCGAGAAAATACAAAAACAAAGGTACCTTGCTCAATTTTGTTTCACGCTCTTCTCATGCACGCGCGTCACCTCTTCTCACGTGCTCAGTAGCCGTTGAGAGGCTCTTTCACAAACAACTTGGACTACTTTGATGTGTTGTTCCTCGCACACAGCTCCAAGCCGTCAGTAGTCCATATTGGGACACAATTTTACTCGATCGTCACTCGAAACAGCTGCGCTAGCGCTTTGGTATGGGTCGAGCACAACAACGACGACAACGACGACCTGCGATGGCCTGCTGTGTCTGTTTGTCTGTTGTACATATCTTTTTTTTTTGCAGGTTGAGCGAGTCTCTCCGAGGTGATCTCTGCGAGCTTTTGGGTAGCGACACGAGTTTCGAGGTGGCTCTCGACCAGACCGGATTAGCGAGTCGCGTTTAGTGTAGTGTACCCTAGTTGATGACCGAGAGTTTCCAACGGATGGTGGTGGCATTCCTTCCTTTAATGAATTACATATAGCGGGTCATCGGTGTTCCCGGTTTTTATGCCCTGAGCCCTCTGGTACGGTTCCTGTCAAGGTTGTTGTTTTTGTTGTTCTAGTGGAAGTGCATGCGCGAATCGAGATTGTGACCTAACCGTACTCTCTATAGTCGGCTGCTCCACGCGCATGAGAGGAGCGGGTGTATCATGATGTGATATCTCTGCATTAAGAGTCAGTGGCTGATGGTGTGTTCTGGTAAAACGTGATTTGGTTTGTGGCACTGGTGAAAGGTGAAGGTGAAGGTGCGGCGAACAACAGTGGTAGAAAGGGGAATACAGCCTAATATGCATTGAATGTGCGCTGATGCGGGAAAGTTGTCACGTCAGCTGCAACGGTGTGCAAGGGAATCTCGGATGCCCGCTTGGGAGATCATCATCATAGCGAACAACTACCAGTAACTACAGTTGCAAGGTTCGGAAGCGATGGATGTGAACACTACCATACGAAAATGTGCAGCTTTTTGATGTGCTAACAAATAGCTTAAACAATCGACCGGTCGTCATCATCGTCGCAGTAGGCTTGATATGCACACAAAGTGAGAGCGTGCGATAATCAGGCGGCTTTGTGAGTTTTAAAGTGAACGGCCAAGGCTTACTCGATTAGACGTGATAATAATGCTGAACGGAAAAGACGTTGCAAGTACGATAAAAATTTCACCCTAATCGGGTGACGTGACGTTTGGTTGGTGACACAAAAAGTACCGCGCGTCTAAGTTTCGGGTGCCAAAATAAAACATCCGGCAATTAAAGTTGGCACGGTAGCCGTCGTGGCGAGTAAATCGTTGAATAAATTGGAATTGACAAACAAAAAAGTGCACTGCTTCCCGTCAAACTGCCACTGCTCTCTGTTATTAACGGTAAAGATCACTTTCGGATTGGTAAATTTTCTTTTTTTTTCTTCTCGTTCCCTCACCAGGCATCAGGCAATAGCAAACGGCGAACATGTTCGGTGTGTCCAATCTCACCTCTTTCACTATTATATCTGTGTTTTTCTTTATTCAGCGACTCCAATTTTAATGGATTGAGCCATGGGGCTGTGCGAGAGTCAGTGCTGGTTTTTTTGGGTGCAGGGATTACATTCCTCCGAGGGGTTTTTCGAAATTGGAGGAAATTAATCACTTCTGCCAATTAGAGCTAGTGGGAAACAAAACGAATATCGAATACTGTAGGGAATCACGCTGGGTTTGAATAGCGTTTGCATTTAAAAAAAAAACTACGTAAAATTGAACCAAACGATTACTGTTGCTTGTAGTTCAAGCTATTTTTGGCAACTAGCTGGGACCTTAGCCAAAGTGGTAGAATTTTAAATGTTAGGATTTTCTCTGTCTTTCCGATCAATCTTTCCACGTCTTGTTGGGATTTGAGCAGAAATTTGCAATTGGATGCAGTTAAGAAAAATTGAGAGCGGTGAAACGTTCGGTATTACCGTTCTCGATAAGTGCTCGATTTCATGGATCGTCCTTCTTGCGTTGTAGAACAATGTCAGCTCAAAATAATGCATATTTTCCGCATGCTACTTCTATATAATCCGCGACACTTGTGGCTGCTTCTCTTGTTACAATTGGTATCAACAAATCAAAAAAAGTTCAAAGAAAAAGTGGTAGGTACCTAAGTTATTTTTATAAGCTTACTACATTTTTTTTTATTATTATTATCACTTTAACGCTCTTGGGTCATTCGTGATTTTTCCGGGGGTGAGATTTGAACTCGTGACTTTGGCGTGAGAGGTATGGATTTGGACCATAACTTCAAAAAACAATACGTATCGCTTTCAAATTTATCGCTATCTAAACAGTAAACATATGACCGCTTGAAACTACATTTCAGGGTTTATCGCTAGGTAGCAGGTTACACATAAAAATCAGCAAACAATTTCTAGTTTTTTTTAACGCAAACGTTAAGTTGCAATTCGATTACGTGACCTCAATAAAATACAGTTATTTTTTAAACAGACTAGAACACTACTCGTGTGACTTGCGTGACTATCTACTTGCGATGCAACATTCTGGTCTCACGTATGCTTTCACTTTGAATGACCTCAGCAAGGTTGGATTATGCATTTTAAGTTTTCACTTTCACCTTCACTCAGAAAAGTGAAATGCAATCTGTAGTTAGGTATGGTGTGTCTTGCTTCCATTCCATGTATGCAAATCACAAGAGGTATGATTTCGTGACGATTTGTGTGCAAATGGGAACCCATAAAAATGGTTCGAAAATGCTTCATCGGTGTGGCTAAGTGAAACAGAATAGTAGGAGGCAAACTACCATGCGTCACCTCCTTTCCGTAAAAGTAAATCAATAAAGATAATATTATCTTTAACGGTATTATGTTAATATTCCTTATGACATTGTTTTAAAGTATTTGAAAATATCATCAATCAAGTACTTAAGTTAGCTAAATTATATTTTATTTCTATTTAGTAAATTATCAGAGCCCTCATCATAAGTTTCTTAAAAATTTTGCAGAACTTTTTGGAATGTTTATTAGAATCGGACCTAGATTCTTCGTCAGGAATCCTCCTCAGAAGCACATTAAACTACTACTCAGCACACTCTTCAAAGGGGACTCAAGCTCTTCTCACAATAGCCTTTAAATATTTTTTCACTATTATCGTAAAACGCCATGATTTTTTAACTCTATTCTACGCGCCAGAAACACCTATGTTTCCAGCTGAACAGTTTATTAAACATAATCATAAGACATCAGTGACTTGAGTCATTAATAACTTTTGACCCTTACATTTTATCGAAACGTGGAATTCAACAAAGTGGTAGCTGCGAAAATTTCCTGTAAGCGTAGCTATTATTTTATAAAGCAGAGAAATATATGAAGAGCTTTCTGAGTGTGTTGATTTATTTCCTTTAAGTTCGTTATAATTGCTTATCTTTTGAAAAGTAGTAGACGAAAGACGCGTATCTGTCAAAAAATATAACGGAATTAAAAGGAAATAAATCAACACCCTCAAAAAGCTCTTCATAAAGGGATTCCGTTAGAGAAAATTAAAAGAGAAATATAGTTGATTGTTTGATAGCTATGAACAAAAAAAAATGGTAATTTCCATGTAAACTTCAAATGGTTTGTGCCATGTCTGAATTTGTTAAAATGTTGGGAGACTAATTGCGACCAAATTTGGAACCGTTTGAGCATTGTGGAACCAAAATTCTAAATTTTGCTTCAGTTTATTGCACATATACTCAGAATTGACAGTAGAACGAATCAGGTGAGAAACTGAAAGAATATGAAAAACGTTTGCACCGATTACAAAGTCGAAAATTACAGATAATGGATTGAACTGAACGGATGGTCTGACAGAAGGTATAAAATTAGCGAGAAATCATTTTTTAACTAGGATTCTACCGATTTGGATTAATTCTATCTGCTAAAACATAGCTAAAATAGTTTGAAGCTAGGAAGCAACCGCTTACATGTAACATATAAATATACTTGAAAACGACTCAGCAATTAACTACGGTATGCTTAACTGTTAATTATCGCATCGATTCTGCGAACAACGAAGCACCTAGATATCGTCACCGAATCAAATTGATTACTTGACTGTTTAGCATTGATTCTTGCATCTTGCAGTCAATTTTTAGTTGAGTCGAAGTTTTAGCTTGAACGAAATGATTAGTTTTGAATCAAGTCGATGATAAACGATCCGTTTTGTTATAACACACACTTAGATTATTTTACATGGGTCAGTATTTTTTACTGGGTTTTTGAAGTCGGAATCAATGAAATCGACAAATTTTATTTTCTGCCATTAAATGGGGTTAACGGAACTAAGTCTGTACAAGTTCGGAATAAATTTTCATATTATTGAATTTTTCACAGATTTTTAAGCTTTTACCGAGCAGTTCCGGAATTCAAAAGCCCAGTAAAACCTTACCGACTGGATTAGTGTGCACCTATGTAAAAATCAGAAGCTATTTAAATAATAGAATCAAGATTATTTTCCTAGAAGTTTTTTTTTTTAATTCCCGACTTTTTCATGGTGATATAAAATATAAATTCACGGCTTTTCCAGGTATCTCCAATATCCCGGTTCACTGGTCACCCGGTTAAAAAGACAAGAGGAGTGGTGATCCATTACCGTAAAACGGGGTAAATTCGATCAGCGGGGTGTGTTTGATCATCTATATATTGATCTACATATATATCACTAGGAGAACTGACGTTCGCTCCGAGACCCGTTTGGTATACTATTCGACTTAGTTTGACGCGATTGTAATCGGTCAACTTGTTTCGAGAAATCTCCGGTACATATTCCCGAGATTAGAAGTGACCTGAAGCATATCAGATTACATATCAAAATACATGATAATTTAAATCAAGATCAAAGGTGGTCATATATAGTGTCATTGGCCATAACCAGACATGTTCCGGGTTCCTTCGTGAAGTGATCAGTTTCTGACATGGATCAAACTCTATCATGCGACGCCTCAAATCACATGAGAATTCAACACTTAGTACAATAGTAGTTATATCGAGTTCCCAGAACCACATTGGTTACATCCGGACATGTTATGGTTGCCCCGGGAAAATGGTCAGTGTCTGACTTGGACCAAAACCATCACAAGAAAAAAAAGTTCAATGATAGTCACTGAATATTCAGGACTACATTGGCCCCATCCGGACATGTTCTAGGATCACCCTGGGTAGTTTCCAGTCTCTGATATGGACCAAATCATTTTACAGTAAATGAGAACTAAAGCATGATCAGTGAGGGTCAAATTACGTTAACAGGCCCACATTCACACCTGGATATGTTCCGGGTATCTTCGTGGAAACCAAAACCTGACATCACAAAAACCCTTCATATGACACATGCAATCACATAAAAATCGGCCATGCCTCAAAAGGCTCTCAAATTGAAATGATTCAAAGCTTATCTTGTGACGCATCGTACCGCATGGAAGTTCAATAACAAGAATATTGAGTACCCAGGGTAAGACTGGCCACACATGTTCCGGGTACCACTGGGGAAATGGCCAGAATCTGACGTGAATTAAACTCACATCAAATCACATCAACATTCTAATTTATAATCATTAACGGCCGATTCAAGCGCATTGGCCACATCTGGGAATTTTTAGACCATGCTGCACCACTGACTCACAAGTTCGCTGATACGCCTGTAGGTATATGAAGAGTACTTGGTGAATCGATCTGAAAACCTAGAGTGTGATCCTGAGAAATGTGGGCGTCTTAGTGGAATCCCTGTATAAAAAGAGAGAGAGAGAGAGAGAGAGAGAGAGAGAAGGATTAATAATTTCCAGTGGCGTTTACTTAACCAATTTATTGCTTGCATTGGATAGATATCGAGTAAACTAGAAGATTAAGTGTATTTTTCAACCGATTCGAGTATGAATATGGCATTAAATCTGGTTTTAAAAGTTGGTGCACAGGTAAAAAGTGAGATTACGAGACGCCACTGGTAATTTAAATTTAATCCCACTACCTTATTTGCTTATCCTTGACAAACTAGTCGAGTATTAGTACAAGACACTGAAGAAGTCTGCACATTATAGACGAAATACGTGTATCTGTCAAGGATAAGCAAATAAGGTAGTGGAATTAAATGGAAATTACTAATTCTTCTCTCTCTCTCTCTCTCTCTCTTTATACTAGAGTGTGATATAAAATTATGTGTGCTAAAACCTATAAAATTAATTGCGAATATCAAAAATTGAAAATTTTTCAGGGTAGACACTGAATTTAAGAATTCCCGGTTTTTTTCCGTTTTCGGTTTCCCGGATAAACGGCTAAATGTGTTTAAATGACCGAACGCTACAGAGCCGAATAGGTCATTGTACCGAATAGAAAGGAGTTCAATGTTCAAGTGATAGATTTTTCAATCTAGAATTTATTGGAATAAGAATTATTTTAGAAAACAATTGGATCAACGCAATGCCTCTCACCCCAAAAGGCCTGGGTTCAATCCCAGTCGGCGATTTTCTGAGGCATAAAATCTCTGATCACGCCTTCCTTCGCAAGGGAAGTAAAGCCGTTGGTCCCGGGTTCATGAGTTGATGGGTTGATAGGTAGGGTCCAGGTGTGGAAGCTGCCTTTCTGGCGTCGGTAGCTCAGTACGGAATCAAATCAAAGAAGAAAAAAAAATACATTTCAGACCTCGGAATTTTCAGGGAATTCTAAAGCAAGTGAGAAGGAATTTCAGCATTGGAAGGGAATTCACAGGAGAATTCTAAGTGAATTAAATCTATGACAAACTTAATGATGTTATGACTAAAATCTTGACACCAAGCCTTAAATGATCACCAGTGGTTGACAATATTATAAATTTTAATCAATCAATCGATCAATCAAAGATTCCAAAGAGAAGAATGTTGAGGAGAGCTCTAACATAGATAACAATTCTAAAGGAACTTTATTCTGAATATAGCTACATATTTGCAGAATTTCAAGCTAGTTTCATGGTAATTCCTAAGATAATTCATACAAGTTTAAAGCGAGTTTCCGAGAGGTTTCAAATAGTTGAATTCACAGTGCATTTTGAGCACATTTCCATAGATATTCGGAGTCACGTACCAGGATATTTTGAAGAAGTTTCCAAGAGTGATTCTTTCAATGTAATTTTGAAAAGAATTTCAAATCAAAGGAATCCACAAGAAATTCTGAAGTAAATTCCAAATAAATACTCGGAGAATACCTTCTAAATTGAAAAAGGGCAAACCAAGAGATTTCTGAAGAATAATTCAAATGAATTGTAAAGATAATTATAAAGAGAAATTAAAGGGGCGACCCCGGCGTAGTGGTTAGAATCAAAACCTCTCACGCCAAAGTCACGAGTTCAAATCTCACCCCCGGACAAGTCACGAATGACCCAAGAGCGTTAAAGTGACTATAATAAAAAAAAAGGAAATTGAAGCAAATTCTTACGAGAGTTAATTTCAAAAGTTTGCTGGCGGAAATCCTAACTTCTAGTGAGGAATGATAAGATTATTGAATCCTGAAACTTACTCTGAACACATTTTGGAATGATCTTAAGGAACCCTAGAGAAAATATCTAATATATTCAGATAAAAATTGATTGAAATGTTCCTTAAACTGCCTGTTCCTTGGGAAACGGACCTTTACTGCGAAGCTATTCGGATTTATTGTTCTGCTTGTGTTTTTTTAGTAAGAGGAGCGGATTGACGGGTAAGCGTCTGAGCTTCCAAAAGAAGTCTCTTAAGGTGAAAATTTATAGAATCCACAAATGGCCTTAAATTTTGGTCCACTTAGAATCCAGACACATAAAACCAGGTGTTGCTCGCTATTGATTTGATGCAAGAAAAATGTAATTTAGTCAAAATGAAGGTATTTTATAGTACTTTCATAAATACAATTGCAAAATTACTCCCACGGCGTTCGAATGAAATCGCAGACTTTCTTTGGAATTCCCGCAATGAGTTTCCCAAAGGCCAAGGCCAAAAAACAAACATAGAGTTGCTGGGGACATCACCCCGTGCTATGGCCAGATAACACTTTTGTCCGGGAACCTGCCTGAAATCCATCTTGACATAGCTTTCGTCGTCCATGAGAAGGCATCTTCTGTACTTTTTCAGAACCCGGTCGTACAACTTCCGGGTGCGTGATCTGGCCACTAGATTCTGCTTCATTGTCCTGTTCTGTTGCTTGCACGGAATGAATGGTAACCTGTTCTTAGACGCATCCTCCGGACGGCACTACGGCTGGCACAGTATTTTTTACCGACATCCCGATCCGAGAGTCCTGGGTTTCTCTTGATTGACCTCAACACCTTCCAGTTCAGCTGCCGATCCAATGTTCCAGCACGACGTTTGCTTTGAACCTTCCTGGTCACACTCTTGCGACCAAGGAACCTCTTGACAACATCTCCCACGCTAGAAACGACAATTTTTTTCGCGATATTTTGACCACGTCAACCTCGTCTTCACTTTCAAAACAAATCGCTGTCAAAATATTCCGAATCCGACTACTAGAGGCGCTGCTATAGAATAAATAAAGTGTCCGGATTCTAAGTGGACCCATCTTTAGTTTAGTATTCTAGATGCACGTCCACAGTTCTTAATTGAGAGCTTTCTATGGCAACCAATGCATGAAGTTGTATATTGGTACTGTATGCCGGGAAACACAAAAAATATCGATCGGCTTAATAGTACCACATACAAACAGACATAACACGTGTAAGCTGTTCATCGAACAAGCATTTAACGGACAATTCAAAAGTATCGCAGTTGGTAGTACCGCCACCTGTGGCGCGCACAGTCAATTCCCTTGCGTTTGACGTTTACACACTACCGCCATCTGTTCAGTGTAGTGCCCACCACAGTGTACTCAACAGATGGCGACAATGTTTTAGCGACGATGTTTTACAGTGAGAAATATTCAATGTGCTATGTCTGTTTTTCTGTGATAGTACCTTGCCTTTACTGACAAAGCTATCTGAGGAGTGTAATTGAAGGATTGATAAAATTATTTTTGACATTGTCACTGGAAGAATTGACTCTCACATAAACTGCCCATAAAAGCATAACTGTCTCATATGAATAGGAAATCAAGCAAAGATGGGACAATTATGCTTTTATGGGCAGTAAACCTTCGTTAAAATCTAATTCTTTTTTCTCTGACTGACTGTATTGAAAATCATTTCTAGTTAGATAGTAAGTGACAAAAGCTGTATTGTCAATATAACCGTATTTGGTCAAGTGAGTTACTTCCACTCACTTTGTTAGAAAAAAAATATTGTCGGTTTTATTTGATGCTATAATGATAGTTTGTACTTGTAAGTTAAGAGATCAAGAAATCTGTCAGTTTCGCTTTAAGAGAGTAACAATCAGCGATTTTATGATTCGGGAGCGTTCACTCATAGTGAGACTGTGACTCTCTGAAAGCGGTTTGACAGATTTAATGTATCAAACACATACTTTCCAGCTTCTTCTTGTAACTGAAACTGTTACATTTATTTAATGCTATTAATAATCTTTTATAATAAGTTCACACCAATCGTATGGATTGAAAGCTGGCAGAACTTCGCAGCAGAGGCAAACCCAGGGGCATGATGGTGGAGCCACAGCCATTTTTTTTTTGAAATATTTGCTCCCCCTCCCCTTCCTTAAGTGTCTACGTAGTTTATGAACCGCCCCTAAGGAGTGAGTCAAGGAGTCACTCCCATGTCGATAATATAATTGGTAACGATATTGTGGCATTTACTTAAGTGGGTCCTCGTGTTGAAAGTTTAGAAAAGCAAGCGGTTGAGTAAACCCTGCCCCAAAAATTGGCACCACGTGCAGCTCGACCGAAGCATTTGTTGTAGGACTACTAGGTAGGAGATGCCAAAAACCAAAACATAGAAAAACATGGGAAAACAGCCGGCCACAACAACTATGCCGAAAATCTTTACCGGCCGAAGTGTGTCAGCCACAGTACAAAACAGAAAACAACACGTGATGAAAAAAAAAAATCGCGCACCCGGTGTGTGAAAAGGAAAGCGTAGAGGAGCTACCGAAAAAAAATACCAATCACATTTTCATTTCCCCCGTTATGATTACCTGCCTCAAGTTCGGTCTGTTGCTGACAGTGGCCAACATTTATCAAAGAAGAAACATTCGGATGTTGAGTCGTTTTGTGTCTGTGCATTGATAAACTATATTCGATTACACGGTCCCGAGTTGGCCTATAAATATACCCTGTCTATTCCGTCATGATGATGATGATGATGATGATTGCAATGTTGTTTCGCGGTGTTTTCTGCTGAGGGAAAATGATGTCATTAAGGTGTAAATTTACGCGCCATTGTAGCAGAATTTGCCAGAAACGAATGGCATAGGAGGCCGAGACGTGAAGCTGATTTGGCCGGTTTTTGGAAACTTGATTTGTTGATAAAAAGTCGAAAATCGCTTCGTACGTGGAGGGAATGGAACCGCAACGAATGCCTGCACACATGCACACACACACTACTGTTGATGACCGTGGCATTAGCAATGGTGACTGTGGTTTTGGCGATGAAGAAGTTCAATGAGCGGGTGAATTATGGACTACTGCTGACAGTAAACAATGCAGTGGCCTACTTCGATTAAAGGGAATTATAGTGTATTCGTAGACAGCCATGGGAAAGTGACAAATGTGCTACAATTTTAAATTGTTCCCATCGCCTCCTCGTTTACGACTTAAAAGCTCCTTTATGCAAATTATCGCTGAGCTTTGGAATAATAGATTTCATAACATTAAAACGAAGTGGAACACAAATATCGAGAAAGATAGCTAAAAGCCCTCATAACATGCTGCAAGCAAAACAAAATAATAACGAACCGCCGACGTCGACGTCGTCGCTGTCGTTGATGAGATGGCACGCTGCTACATATAGTAGTTGTAATAGATCACCCACTGCTGCGGTCCGACGCCGGCAATAAAGCCATAACCACCGCAGATTAGACTGGGGCTTTTTAGATAAATCTCGGCGCATAAAAACATTTGTTATCTAATTAGCATCACCTAATTGAGAACGACAGGCACGCACACACCCAAACTGGATTATTTTTTTTCTGGATCATTGCTTCCCTCATAATGCTATTATTTTTAATTATTGTCATTCTCTATTCATTGTTACTTCCTTCCTCATTTTGCTAATATTTTATCTCTCCCGTTCCATTCCAGGCGTACTTCTAGGAGCGGAAATTGATATTCGCCCTCCGCATAGCATTGCCAGACGAATCGTGAAAGAGTGACATTATAAACCATCAGGCTACCTGTGTAGGGTGGGGCGTGTCGGACGCCGTGAGGGGGCGTATGTGTGACAGAACGCGCGCGTATGATAGCTATTTGCCGGATCGCTTTTTTTTATTTTTATCGAATATTCAATTCGGATGACATCATTACAACAGCCAGTCAGTATAGTCGGTAAAGTGAAAAGCAGTAAATAACCACAGTAGGCACCCCACCGTCGTGTCGATCGACTTCAGCGCGGCATTGCCTACTACGATAGACTGATAGATTTTCGCATAGAGTCTCACCTCCGCAGTAGACTGTAGGGAAAGGAAATATGAGCGCCGCCGTCAGCGCCGAGCAAACCATGATCGGCGACGGCATCGAGAGACACATTAGCAATAACAATAACAATGGCGATCGCGAACCGCGGAATAATGGAACCCACGCATTTGAGACAATTTCGGAATGTACCACGACGTCGGCCAGCAGCAGTTCCATCTTCAAGAGCTCAATGGCCACCACCGCCAGCAATGTAAGCCGGTCGTCGTCGTACCATTTGCAACATCTCAAGAGCGCCTACGGAGCATCGGGTAAGTTTTGTGTGTGTGTATTTTGGATTATTCTTAAGAATATGGGATTTCGCCTTTTCGAGTGTTTTGTTCATCACCACTCTCGTGGATTACCGCAGAAGTGGTTCCCATATTGACAATGAGTAGAGTTTAGCCGTAGAGATTGTGATTTTGAATCAACCCATGTTCTGATGTCATACATCAGATGCTTTTTCGATTTTATCTAACAGCATTATTTCAACTTGAGAGTCCCGGTGTTCTTTTGATTTTTTGAAGCAGGAATGTTCAAAGCCGTCCGAATATCTCTGAACGCTTTCAGCATCGAACTAGATGGAAATATAACAAATGACTCTTGGTGAAGTACATACTACTAACATTTTAAGCCAGGATGGAAAGGCCGCGAGTTAAATGATATCTTTCAGTAACAAGCAGTGTTGTTAAAAATCTGTAGATCTGTTCACGAAAAAAAGTGGACACCCTGAACATCAGATCAAATAATGACTTGTTGCAAAAATAGCTATTTTTTGCGAGTATTTTTTGTGCTAAATAATTTTATAAAAGTGATCTTATTATAAAAGTTATAAGGGAATCTCCAAGAGGGTGTCCTTTACTTTTCGTGTGCACAAATTCATAGGTCAACCACAGTGGTAACAAGTAAGACGGACCAACATGGATTTAAACTATTATCGATTGACTGTTGATTGATCGCGGTACTGGCGTGTCACGACCTTCAGTTGAATTACTTCACCATAGGGACACAACCACATCGCAATTTACGACGTACTCAACGATATCGATAAATAGTCACCACTATCTCGAATAGTTCAAATATTTTCGTCCCATCCATCCCCCGCATTTTTCTCTATTTATTTAGCAGCTCAATATTGGCTCGATATAAAACCATGTTAGCAACTGCCCGCCAATTGCTAGAATCCGCCACTTAAGCCACTCGAAATAGACGAACATTATTTCAACTCGGGGCAAACCATAAAATGACAAAGCGAATCATTTTCAAACGCTCTGCTCATAGGCGGCTTCAGGCGTCATACAAAGGAAGGGGGGCACAATCCCAATGGCAGTGATCCGGTTGATTATAATATATGATTGATTTTCACTTGGTTCGGAATATCGTAACCTGTTTTAAATCTCAGATCTTTAAACATTTCAATGTTAAAAAAAAACTTTTGTGCAATAATCATGAAATATTTCAATATCTCAGATATTTGATTTATATTAAATTAGCAACGATGATTTTCATGTCATAGAATTTAAAAAAATCTCATTCTGGGATGAAGAATAATCTGCAGACTCGGAATCTTATGCGTTTTTCAAATCTTGATTTTTTGACGTAGGACTACGTCTATGATTTCTATATGGGGGTACACTCTGTGAAAACCGAAAAATGCGATTGAGCTGAAGAGATCACTAGATTAATTGGGAAATTTCTAAGACAGCAGCATCCTTCCTGGAGCTTGAATTTCGTTCTGCGACACGTTTGAAGTCTTCACAATTAGTCTATGAAAATTTGCTCGATTGTTGTCTAGCATTTTCTTTGACAGACTTCTTTTCACATTTCTTCTAAATTCTCTCTGGGAGTCACTTGAAAATTTATTTATAACAGTCCAGAAATTCCAGGGTGACCAACAAATCTCGAGCAGTAATTTCCCAGAATTTTGAAAATTTTACCGGTTAAGCGATATACATTTGAATTAAGCATAACACTGAATGCGATTGAGCCTTAGAGATCACTACAACGTCTGAAAAAAAAAATCGTTTAAATTTCAGCGATTGTTGATGTACTAGCCCAGAAGTGGCTAAAATCACAATAATAAAGTATTAAAGAAAAAATGTAAAATTTAAGCGCCTTATATTGCAAATAATTTTGTTGTTTATGTCTCTTTAGCTCTTAGGGAAATTTTACACAACAGTTAAAATCCTGCATTTTTGTCTGTGTAGGTTAAATGGGTAATTTCTTAGACAGCATCATAATTCCTGGTTCTTCAACTTTGTTTCGAAACACGCTAGAAGTCTTCACAATTTGTCTATGAAAATTGGATCAAAACCTTACTGAATTTTATTTGATTGTACTCATTTGAAATTCTCTTTGGAAGTCCCTTGAAAATATCTTTATAACAGTTCAGAAATTCTCTGTAGAACACTCCAAAAATTCTTGAAATTCGGCCATAGATTCTCTTTGAATTTTGAACTCTTTCGAAGAATTAACTGAAGCTTTATTTTTTTTTAATTCGCCTGAATTCTCGGCATTCTCCAAAAAGTTCCCGAGTTCTCGATCAAAAATTAAAAAGGGCCTATCAGCGTTTGTGAGCAATACTTGTAATCCCCTTTTCCTGCCAACACCATCGGGCAGGGGAAATTCTCCAGTCGAGAATTGTCTTAAAATTTTGCTTAGAACTATCTTGGAGTTCTTCTCTGAATTCTTCTGGAAATTGCATGGCATTATCATTAAAAATTATATGCGAAATGCGCTTGGAGTTATCATTGGAACTTCTTTAAAGATCTTCTGAGAATGCCTATGCAATTGAACCATCAAAATTCCAATCCCTTGGTATCGTCACGAATTTTGGCGTCCTCTTCACAATCGTCATGGTCGTAATTTTTCAGAGATCTCTGGTTTTCCTAAAACTCGAAAATATTCACTGAAACTCCTTGGTGTTATCTCTAGAATCCATTCTAAAATCTGCTCAAATTTTCTTTGGAAAAAACTTCTAACATTCTCTTATTAGTGACTGTATCCTGAAAATCTAGTCCAGTCTGAGGGTCTTGAAATCTATTTTTTCCGGTTTGTCATCGAAATTCACGGGATTTTTCCGGTATGTGTGTGTGTGTGTGTGTGTGTGTGTGTGTGTGTGTGTGTGTGTGTGTGTGTGTGTGTGTGTGTGTTTTTTTTTTTTTTTTTTTTTTTTTTTTTTTTATAGTAAGGTTTAGGAAAGCTTCAAGAAGCCTGGCCTGTAGTGAAGGTGGCACGGTGTGGTATCCACTAGTTGCCTAGTGCAGCTCCACTAAAACCCATTCCTTACTCTCTCCTCTGCCTGGATCCCCCCGGGACCACTGTGAAGCGACTACTTCGGGGGGTGGCTGTGCTCATGCACTTGTCGTACTCTCAGCGCTAGCTGGCGTTGCTAGATCGCTGCTCTTCTCTCCATTTACGCTGCAGCTCTGACATAATCTGTGTGACTGCCCTGCTGACGGCATTCCAAGAGTCCTCCTCTCGACACATTTCATCAACGACATTCTCCACGTTAAGGACGGGCATCTCCGTTCGCACTGCCTCGAACCTTGGACAGTCAAAGACCACATGCTCCGGCGTTTCATCGACGTTGCCACACTCCGGACAGAGGGGTGACGCTGCATGTCCGAACCGATGCAGGTATTTCCTGAAGCAGCCGTGGCCAGACAGGAACTGCGTTAGGTGGAAATTGACTTCTCCGTGTTTTCTGTTCACCCAGGTCGAAAGAATCGGTATTAGTCGATGTGTCCATCTACCGTTCTCCGTCGTGTTCCACTCCTGTTGCCACTTAGCCAATGACTCCACTCTCACAACTTTCCGTACTCTTCCGGCTTCTCTCTGCCTGTAGCACTCACTGTCCTCCGCCAGGGTGATGCCGATAGGGATCATACCGGCGATAACGCATACTGCTTCCGACGAGATGGTTCTGTACGCACTCACGACTCGCATGGCCATGAGCCGGAACGTACTGCTCAGTTTCCTTTGGTTCTGCTTCGTTTCCAGCGCTGGAACCCAGGCTGGACCTCCATATCTCAGTATCGATGATGACACGCTGGCCAGAAGACGCCTCTTGCTACTGCTGGGACCAGCGTTGTTCGGCATGATTCTAGCTATCGCGTTGATGGCCTTCGAAGCCTTCTCACAGGCATATTCGACGTGGCTGTTGAAGTTTAGCCGGTCATCGATCATCACTGTGTGTGTGTGTGTGTGTGTGTGTGTGTGTGTGTGTGTGTGTGTGTGTGTGTGTGTGTGTGTGTGTGTGTGTGTGTGTGTGTGTGTGTGTGTGTGTGTGTGTGTGTGTGTGTGTGTGTGTGTGTGTGTGTGTGTGTGTGTGTGTGTGTGTGTGTGTGTGTGTGTGTGTGTGTGTATTCTTTCTAACCCCCACTGACCGGCAGTGTTATTATAGAAGAACTCGTCAGTGAGCATGCATAAGGGCGAATACGCGATGATCGATTCTCTTCATCGATTTTCTCTTTGCATTGCTACAGCTAAGCGATACTATTTTCTAGAATTTGTTCAATGCAGAGTAGTTACAGGTTGTATTGCATATCGAAAGCAACAGCAAACGCACCGATAAACGTTAAATCTAGCGAGTTATTAACGAAAGAGAAAATCGACGAAGAGAATCGATCATCGCGTATAGGCCCTTATGCATGCTCACTGTCGAACTATCTCTGCAATGTCGCATTTATGGTCATTGTAGACAGCTTTAGTCCGGGAGTTAGAAAGTGATAGCTCTATTGCAGATCTAGCAACCCATTTCAGAATGTCTGGAGAGTAACGTCCATTCCGAGGTTACTTTCACTTACAAGAAGCCCCGCATGTATGCATCACCGTTATCAAATGGATATTGGTATTACACACACGCTTCCAGGTTCGAAAATATTCTTTAAAAACCTGGCACGTATTTACTTTATGTTTTTTTTTAATTATAAAATGTATTTGGACTGGTCTCACCATGTTAATTTGATCCTCCAATCCATGGGTTCCGTAATTTTGATTTTCTCTAAGCTTTGCATTTCGTGATGCACCTTTGTCGTAATACTTCCTTTAACGAACACAAATTTTCTTGCATTGCCATGGTCATCTGGGAGGAGGTTCGCGTCTAGTGCTTTCCTCAGGAACAGTTCGCGGCCACCAACTGCCACCCGTCCAGTCTTGGGCGTATCCAGCGAGGCATCTTTCGCAATCTCCGACACCGGCGAGAGACCAGCAGTCGAGCACTTTTGCAAGCGGAAAACTTGCTGATTCACGGCAACGTCGGCCACCGAAT